GTGAATGTTAAATGCGCACATAAAAAGAATGTTCATTGGTGCACAGCCGGCGTTCGATCCTACGACCTCAGGGATGAGAGTCTCACGCTAAAGCCACTAGGCCAACACGCTCAACCTTTTATCAATAGGTTACTATTCATATTTAAATTGTACTAATTATTATAAATTAAAAGTTCAAAAGTTGAAAAAAAGGTTATGTAACTTAAATAACAAGATAACAGAATGAAAATATAAGTATATACGTTTGCTCATATGTGATGATACGTGAGAAAATGCATGAAAAACGTCGTCTAAATTGAAAAATTAAGGGCTATGTTAACTTACGATACGATTGACTTTGAGAGTTCCTCGAGTGGAATGATCATATCGCGTGTACGAGCTTCATTATCAAAGCTTGGAGTTGAGAGCTTGTAATTCGTACGTTTATCCGGCTCGTGGGAGCCAGGTATCCCTCGCAGCTCGTGGGAATGACACGTCAACTTCTAAGTAACTAAATTTGAAACTTACTGAAATGCAAACGTAGTTTTTATACTTAATATACTGCACACCGTTTCTATTTTGCCTTACAATAATTGCATAACTCATGACAACTTTGATTTCCATATAACTAGATAATGATCCCTTACTCGGTACAGGCTGTTATTAAGGCCACCACGCTTCACTCTGATTGCCACGCGCCTGGGAGAAAACAAATAAAAAACCAACGTATTTAAACACGCATCACGCTAATCACAAGCTAATTATGCTGTATAATCAAAAATTACAAGTCTCCCTTTACTTTGTAGGAGTGAGAGAGTTTTGAAGTGGCCGAGAGACGAGAGAGAGAATTTTTTTTTTATGTGGTAAAGCCGTGCATCACAGCAAGTTTGCACTCTTTCCAACTCTCGTTGACATGCAACCGACGACATCGCTCGTTACGTTACAATAATTTCGAGATGTGATTCTGCACTCGCTCCTAATATGAATTGGCACTCGATGCATGTATTATTTGAATGTAATGTTACAAGAAATTTTATTTTCGTAATCACGAAATAATCAAATAGTTATGGATAGATTCACTTGTATTGTTATTTAATTTTTAAAAATTACATTGTTTGCTCATTTTTAATAAAATATGTAAGAGGGACACGTGTATTACAACTTTTAGAGACAGTTTTATTTATTTTGTATTTGAAATATGCTTGGTTTACTATTTCGTTAATGTTGGTAACAAAACAAAAGCATAAATCAAATTTAATTATACATATATATATATATATACGTATGTAGCAGATAATATATTTAGGTAATAATAAATCTAAAGTTTAATTACCTACTGCCACTGAAAACAATACTGTTTATTTATTATAATGGATCAAATACAAAACACTTTAAACGAAACAAAAGTATATTATTTATGATTTAATATGATTAGTTTTTTCTTATATTTTTTATCAAAAACGATATGTTGTGTTTTTTTATAATATATAAGTAGAAAACAAAACTATAAAAATATGTTAAATGTTAAAAGAACTTACAACAATATGTTTAAATCCTTGTGTTTTACAACATTCTCACATACACAAAACACTTAACAAAATTATTTATATCCAATAGGACCACGAAACGAAGCGCGTGTGAATTGACGACGTACTGTGTAAAGGAGAGTCGCGCGCTAACTGCGGCCAACGAGAGCGCGCTCAGCGGGCCCCTTCGGCCGCGTGCCCTTACACAAGCCATTGTTATGTTTTGTTTTTCTGTTTTGTAAAGTTATATTAGTTAAAGAGATAACTATTTATTGAAGTGAAACTTCTTTAGGATATTTTTTTTACGGATGAAACGCAATAATAATAATATTAGCGTCACGAAGATGTGCAGCGTTTTTGTCCAAGAAAAGGGAGTGAGCGATTGAGAGAGAGAGAAGGGCGAATTACCTTATAGAAATTCTATTTTTAAATTAAAATTTCGTATAGAGAATTTATGAAATATTAGTATTTTATATTTTATGCAAAATAATTTATTGAAATGTCAAATGTCGAATTGTAAATTAAATTGCCACGTGTTTTCATTATCGTAGAAATAAATTTTAAAAAATTATAATTTCTATAAATTTTCGACAAAATTTTAATGACAATTAAATTCATTAAATTCCTAACATATCTACCTTTTTCCTTTCCTCTAAGTCTCGAAAAACTAAAGTTTTAGATTACAAGACTTAAAAATTAGTTTGCCAAAGAATTTTAATTTCTGACATGTGTATTTTGTTATTTTGTACACACGCAATTTTATTTAAAAGGAAGTGAATAACAAGTCGTGTCTTCTGTAGCATCGTTAACGTACAGTCTCAGTGCCTCTGCGGTAGTTAATAGTTTGATACCTATATTAATATATATAATGGAATATGTTTCAATTCCTACTTTTAGTACGATGTAGAAAAGTATTGGAAAAGGAAATCTTTATACATAAATAGGCCCGGTATATTTCGCCAATAAATATTTCGCCTCAGTAAAAATATATTAAAAGTTATCTTATCAAGACCACTAGCTCCTAGCCTATGGGAACTGACCCTACGAACGCTGCTGTTTTTACTTTTGTGTTTGTACCTCGGGCAGCCAAATCGCGAGCTCGCGAATGTGCACGCCTGCATTCCTAACAACAATATTGTCTATTGTTCACTTCAATTTCTTTACGTTTAAAATCACACGCATACAAACATAGAAGCTAAGGGTAATATATTATATAGTATTCATTTAAACAAATTATTGTTCCTCTATTGAGAAGACTGGGCGAGGCGTTTTTTCTAAATTAGAAATTGCACTAACTTTCTATCACGTGTTTTTTAAATTTTACATTATCAGACAGAAAAAAGTTCACCTAGTTTAATTTTATGCTTATCAGTTGCGGTTTAGGCAAATTAAATTGTCTTCTTGTTATCGCTCATTGGCATTGTCAAAAATAAATTAAGTGCTATTCAGAACGTACGGGTAACGCGCATTCTAAGAGAAACACGAGGTAAAATAAGTATTTAAAATCGAAGTGAAATATTTCTTAGATAGATCCTTTCCATATTAAATCAGAGCCAAAAGTATCTTAAATTAAATTATAATCAGTTTTATTAGAGCCGAAGATGCTCTACGTAGGTACAATACACATACGTAAACGGCAAATATTGTAATAGGAAACCTAGATTTTTATAGATCAAATATATATATTCAAATGATAAACAAATATATGTTATAATTGTATGTTTTATTCAGAGTATTAATTTATTTATATATTTCAAAAAAAAATATTTCTTGTTCTAGAGATTTATAAATTATAATCGATTTTGAATAAAGGCAAGCTACGCCAATAAATAGCCATGGTATTTGTGAGAAAATAGCTATATAATTATTAACCCAAAAAATTAAAAGACTTTCGGGGTAGAAGGATTTGAGAAGTAAATCAGCAAAAACAGGCGAACGAAGACGTCTCTTACGAACGCTGACGACGAGAGAGATATATAAAAGAGACCCAGGGAAGAGTTGTAGAGCTTGATAGTTCCTACACAAAGTTATAAAAACAAGTCTTCCGCCGAGTCTATCTGTTCGAGATAAACTCAAAAACTACTACACGGAATTTATTGCGGTTTTTACCAATATCTAGAATGATTCACGAGGAAGCCTATATAGGTAAACAATTTTTTAAGACTTACTGGTTACGGTCGCCCGTACGAAGTCAAGTCAAGTCAAAAATCATTTATTCATATAGGTAACACAATGTACACTTATGAACGTCAATAAAGAATTATACATTTAATGTCTTTAATTTTACATTTACTGCCAGTTCTCAAATCAAGGGCGTAGAACGGAAGAGAAGAACTGGCAATAAACTCTCCGCCACTCTTTTTAATCGCCAAGTTTATTTTTGTTTATTTTTTTACACAACGTTTTTAAGGAGCTGCAACCATTACAACTGTTCCACATGACTTCTTAAGTAATAAATAATAATAAAATAAATTAAAAACAAGATTTGTCCTATATCAGCAGAAGGCATGGTGAAATAGGAGCACGCACTTACATTCTCGTGGCACACGCAAACACATAGTCGAAATAACTAACATCACCGCATACACGAATTCAAGTACGACCAGTCACCACAAGTAGCACCCGTTCACGAGTATGACGCATGGCCAGCAGTCGGCCTCCTCGCCATATTTTAGGGAGAGAGACAACCCGACGCATGGACGCCGCCACAGGCAATGACATTGAAGCGTGCATGAAGATCCTTGAAGCCGGGAATAGTCCCCAGTATATGTACTATATATCTTAATGTAAATTACTTCTTAAAGCTCGGTCGACATCCGGCAAGTATCTAATCATAAAAAAACGCAGTGATTCTAAAAATCCTTGGTTACGTATTTATATTGTCTCATGCAAATAAATCTCGTAATTGAGGAAAGCTATTGTGTAAAGTTTTTGAAAATTGAACATGGTCAAGTGTTTGACCGTATTCAACGAATGTTTAAGAATAATAAGAGCTATATTAATATCAACGTAGTTAAAATGCAGGAAAAACATCAACAACCGCATTCTTTATATTTTAATCTGAAATCGTAATAAAAAAAATTGTAAAAAGTGGCATTGCGAGTCGTGAGCCGTGACATTACATCAAATAGCAAGCAGCCAAGTAGAACACACAGGTCCAAAAATATTTATTCATAACGTGTTAAATGTCGTAATAAAAGTTATCAATATACCTTTATAGTTAAATTAACTTTATTTCGTAATACTTCGGAAACAATAATCTGTGTAACGTAAGCTCCCTGGCCCAAGGATCGATTACAATAATGTGGAAAAAATAGAGGCAATACATAGATATACATTTCGTGTATTTTTTGAGATACGACCTTGGAATATTTGTAACTACATTTTTGGTACTATATCTTTTTTCATCTGTTGTGTCACTCTTTAATCAAATGATGAAATAATGGGAATGAAAAGAGGATAGAATTTATTTAAAAATTTCACAATCTACATGGCTTATTCCTTTTCGACTTTTATCCTAATGGTGTTAATTTCTAAAGTTCTGTTATAACCGGATTCATATTTATCCTCATAACTTTTATTTTCTTCTTTGATCTTCATTTGATGTATTCCAGCAGCATAGGAGTGATTCTTATATTCTTGCCTAAAATTGTCAGGTTTCCTTGACTCATCTCTGCATCTCTCACCATTCATACCTCTTTTGTGCCTATTTTCTCTTTTATAATCATCCTGTTTATTTCTGTTGTGTAATTTGTCTTGATACCTACTCCTCTCGTGTTCTCTAAAATGATCCAAATTTTCACGACTTTTATCTCTAACATTATGCCTACTACTATGTCTTTCATTATATTTGTCTCGTCTATATGTTTCAACATTATGAATATCCCTTTTTGTCCGTGAAGAGTATGTATTCCTCTTGCTTTCATGTCTTGTATCTATAGATCTTCCTGAAAAATTTGGTTTATTTTCATAATAAAACATTTGTTTTTTTCTATTAAGTCTTTCAAGTGATAAACTCCTTTCTCTTTTGATTTCATCATGGAGATTCTTGTCATGGATTGTTTTTTCTACAGTTTCCTCCTGCTCATTAAGAATGCCAGTGTACATCTCCATCTGAAAATTTAAAATGAATCTTCACATATTATAATATTAAGTTCCTCTTTCTTTTTGAATGTGCTTATCTTAAAAACAACAAAACAGATGTATGACAAGATAATGAAAAGAAAATAAGCTACATTTTGATCAAATTCAGCAGCAGGTAATGCAGCCATTTCAAGTTTTGGATATGCTAGCGTGTTAATGAGCCCTGTAGTAATTTTAAAGTAAAAAGTTTAATATTTGATGTTCAGTTGTCAGTTAATATTATTTCATAGATTGGTAAATCATTTAAGTTACCTGAGTTCTTATGACGTCGCGTAAAACATCAGAGTACTTCTTAGTTTTAGCAGCAACGCGATACTTTGTGCGTCGCCGCCGCATGTCACGCAGTTCCGAAAGTATTTCGATGCGCGACTTTGCCTTTTTTTCGGTTTTCACTTCATTGACACTGTGAAAAAAAGGGAGATATTTAAAACATCTGTCATAATATGTTCTTTGATTAGCACATTTGATATAGTGAAAACATTTACTTACTCATTTAATGCTAAGTCAGAAATGTCATGGCTAGTTGGATCCGATGCAACAACAGCATCATATATTGCACGGCGTTCATCTCCTGTATATGTTGCTTGTAGACGCTCCAAGGTAAGTGGTGCAGGTCCATCCCAAACATTGCCTTTTAGAAGTTAAGGAAATATCTTAACATTTAATGTAGTTTGTTATTATCATAATTATTTTAAGGTTTAACTATAATGTGAATAAATATTAAGTCTTAGCCAGTCTTAGGTTGAGCCAGACACATGTCTCTGTATCTAATGTACAATATATTAATTAAGAAATACAACATTGTTATGAATTATAAAATACCATCTTAAATTGAATATTATCCTGCTTATGTAAAATTAATTGTTACTTAAAAATAAAAGGATACAGTATGTTGGTAAAACACCTTTTTCTTAACAAAAAAGATTCCAGATTTTATTTTCACTGTAAAAAGTACAAAGTTAAATCTTTAATTACTAAATCATTTTAAAATGTCATAAATAAAACATACCTTTTTTAAATGCTGGATCATTCTTAGAAGCATTTGCTATTATCAAGTTAATATCTTTTGAATCTGAAAAATGGCCAATGTGAATTACAGTATGACACAAACAAATTAATTATTTTGTTATTAACTACATGTTGTTGCATGTCAATTTTAAGTTAATTAGAGTTGTCTATGAAAACTAATTATCAAATATGATTAACACATTTAATTTAGAAGCTACTTAACATAAATCATACTTAGTTTAACAATTGCTTGAGCATTCGAATTCAGAGGTTCCGGCAATAACTTTTCCTCTTGAGCGTAACCCTGGATTCTTAACCAGCATTGCTCTTCATGTTCCTTAGATTTTTTGGTAGATATTTTGTGTGCAGTGTCGTAAGCACAAGTTTCAATTTCAGCGTTCTGCAAAGTAGTATAATAAAGTAATATTTTAAGGATAGTATCACCAATGTATTATTATACAAACTCAAGAGATTCTCCTTAGTCCTTACAGAAACTAAAATCTGCCGATTCCATTGTAAGCTCTGCAAGATCATTGTTATTTCGTTATTACTGCGAGAAATAAATGCTTCCAAATCTGTAAGTTCTGTATGTCTGTTTGAAACCATATTTATGAAATCGTTGATCCTTTTTATTGTTTACAATGAGGTTATTAGATAAGCAATTCGGTATAGGTAATAAATTACATTTTGTATATTTATTTATTAAAGTTATTATACTTCTTTAACTTCAATTCAAGTCACTTGAAGAGTGAAGCAAAGAGAAATAATATACTGGGAAGTGACATATTTCAAGACTGTCAAATTTGACATCAGCTCAGTGTTGCCAACTTAATTTTAACGAACCCACCAATTTTGCCGTCGCAACCCACCAGAAAACCACTAAAATCCACACTAACTAATAAAATAAATGTAAGTGTGTTTGTTTATTTATCCTTTTTTCACGCCGAAAGGAAATATAGGATCGATGTGATTTTTATGTCCGCAGATAGGAGGGGGTTAGGCAAGCAGCCGGCGAGCACTATTTTTTTGTTTTTACCGCGGGAAACACATGTTTTACTGAAGTAAACAGTAGTCTATGGACTATGTCACTCTTTACTTTAGATGGATAGCATACAGCTAGGATATATTTTTTGACAATAAAAGAACAATATTGTAAATTGAATTATAAAATTCGTTTATTTTCATTACAAAAAACTTATAGAAGACATACAAAATCGTTAAAAATCATCTTCAGCAGAGTCGGATTCCTCTGCACCTTATGATTTTAAGTACATTTCTTTCGTTCCTATTTTCTGGACTACATAATTTGGCAAGATGTAATTATTGCAACACTTTCCTTCGCGTTTTAAACCTGCGCGGATTGTCATAATAGATGACAGTAGATCTAGCTTCATTCGGTTTCTGTGTTTTGTCTTCACGATATTCATAATGCTGAATAATCGCTCTACGCATTAGAGTGCGGTAAAACTAATAAAGATATAGCAAACGTGGCTAAATCTTCAAATCGGTTTTCTCCTGCAATGTCTTCGAAATCCAGCACCTCGTACCAAAATTCCACCAGCTGTACTTTCCACCACTTCCAGCCAGTCCTTTAATTGGGAGTCCCGTAACCAACAATCCCGGAACTTTTGCGTATATTGCGGTTTTGGCATTTTGTTTTAAAAATAAACTAAACATTTGCAAACAAACAAGGTCGCTCCGATGCATAGCATAACCAAAACTACTAAGTATCTGTGTTGTGTATTTCTATTTTTGTGCATGCATACGAAACGAACACATACAAATCTCATTAATTCAAATCAAATTTGACCCATTAGTCATACGAATAAAGCCCATAATCAAAATAATTTAAGAAATTGATAAACTTGTTTCGGAAAATTCCCGAAAATAACGAACGTAATTTTACAGAGTTGCCTACATAATGACAAAATATTCCTTGATAAGGTAAACGTTTTCGTCTTTTCCTGTAAAGATATCACTCGTGCTAGTGGTTAAATGTCGTAGCATACCACTGAATGAAACAAACTAAACCACTAGAAAAATCCACTAGCCACTAAAACCAAAATTCGCCCGCTAAAACGTATATCTAAACCACCAGATCTAGTGGAATATCCACTAAGTTGGCAACACTGCATCAGCTATACTTGAGGAGTATAAAAGCAAAGGCGCTTCAGTCACAAAACACTTAAACTGAGTTATTTGCAATATTCTACTGTGGTGTAATGAATTGTTATTTTGGCCAGATTCTGTTATTGGTACATTAATTAGAACTGAGAATTTAAATAACAGTAACGAAAATAATGAAATTCACGTTATATTTATCATAATTTAGAGATATATTTAGGACTTAGGTGCATATGCATTTAAACATTGGACTGAAGTATGTTTGCTCTTCATTGCTTGGGATCGAAGCGAATTTGCATCTCACTATTTAATTCGAAAAATGTGACGGGGGGAATGTACTGATTGCAAAATAAAACAAGTTACTCTTGCGTTTTCCAATTACAGCACTAGAGCGCATTTTGCGGCATAATGCTCAACGTTGAGTGTTCCAACTACAGCAACGCTTCGCACAATTGAGCACTCTCAAAACGAATGCTCTCGCAAACAATACCAACACAGTGACAGAAAATTGACCAGTATTTTTCTTTAAGTTGGCATTTATTGAAATTTTCGTTAGTAAATATTATTTATTGTTGAAAAATTTGTAAGGCTTTCGTTTCGTCGTAGATTTTGAAAATAATTAAAGTTATTTCAAACTGCTAAAAAATAAATATTAGTATGGATGAAGGTATAAATAGTTACTTTTTTTATATTCCACATTTAAAATATGAATACAATTTTATTTTAAAATTCGGATCTGTAAACAAATTTACTTTACAGGATTATACTTTAGAAAAAATTGCAATGGTTTTGAAAAAGTATATATTTTTTTAGAAATCATTAAAAAATATTACTCAAAACGTAAATCATGTAAACTTCTTACATGAAACTAAATATTTTACTGTTAATTTAGCTTGTTAAAACCTTATATTCTTTAAAGGTTTTCTCTTATTTCAGTAAAAAAAATTTAATGAAATAATTTGATTATTAAATTAAGCGTAAAAAGTTTTCAACCAATTATTATTGTTTACCACATTATTTATACATTAATGAGGTTGCTAACTCTATTCAGACCATTTTTTTGTCAAAACTGACTTAGCGCACTCTGCTGATGCATTTGAAAACTAATTCACGTTCCAATTAAGCTTCAGCATTATGCGGCATTGTGCGGCATGAGTCGAAAAATGCTCTGTAATTGGAAAACGCACAGATAATAATCATTTATTTTTATTTAAGGACTTAACTTTTCTAAATCATTATATTATATGAGTCAACTGTCGGTGGATCGCAAGATGGCTCATTTTCTTGAATATCATCATCAATAGCCTCATTAATAATTTTTTTGTAATATTCCAGTTCTGGATGACTTTCCCACTGCGATCCATAATGTTTTTCCAACAACTTCCTCACGTCACTGATTTTGTATTTTTTGATGATGACATTGTTTTTTGCAACTGGCAGTGGCAGTACATCTTTAAAAGATTTTCCTCTTTTTAAAATAGATTTGTATTGGGTAAAGTCCGATGTATAATGAGGTTCACCTTTTACTTTCACCTTATTACCATTTTTATTGATAAAAAACCGCTTACTTTGAGCGAATTGAAAATGCCATAGACCAGGCGGCTTAATGACATCGTGCAGAGCATTTTTCCAGTCGTACACCATCTCCATTTGCACAACTAGGCCATATTTGTTAAAAATATTGTGGTACTCCTCTGGTTGTACAATTACTTCCTTCCTTTTTAACTCCCTTTCAACATTACCAAACACTCTGTCAGCAGGTAGAAAAGAGTGACCTGGTATTGGAAAAACAAGTTCAATGTTTTTTATGTTATTAGGGGCATTCCATAACCACACGGAGCACATTCCAATAAAAATTGAGTTTTTGTTTTGAGCCCCGCAACCATCAGCCACTAATCGCAACGTCTCAATTCCATTAAAATCTAGTGAATTTAATCGGTGATAAACTCCAGAAGCAATTTCATTAGCTCCTTTTTTATATTCATTTTCGTTCCACGTGTATAAAGTATCTGTCTTAATACTGCTATAGCCTATAACGCAATGCGTTTTATTTTTATTTTTTATAATGGCCCGCACGGTTTGTGCATTGTGGCCCAGGGTCAAAAACAGGGAAACGGGTAAAAACATTAAATTATCGGCTGGATAGGAATTTAGGAATAGAAAATAATTAATCTATAAAATAAAAGATCAATTCTTATAAATCTACATACAAAAGGAGTGTAAGAAAACATATTTACATAATATATTTACGTTCATATTGTCTAAATTTTTATATTATTACCTAAGATAAAAGCTGCTAAAAGTTTATATACATGTGGGTCCAATGTTGAAAGTAAACATGATATGGATGAAGGGAAAGGAATTTGAAGGGAAATGAGACCTTCGAGAAGACCCGACCGGTCGCGTCGAGGACAAACAAACATAATGTGATTTAAATCACCTACATCATATCCGCATTAAATTTTGACGTAAAAATATTTACATTAGGACGACAAAAATAAATAGACACTATGCAAATTTTATTTACAATAGCAGCAATGACTGATAAGTCATCTCCGAATGAGGGAAGTGGAAATAAGGAATAGGGGAGATTATTTTTAATGACTATGGCAACACCGCCATTCGGAGAATAACATAACCTGGAATTCGAAAAGTCAATTCCGGGCGAAGCCATGTTTCCGACAGAGTTGAGACAAATGGTTTAAATTTATTATGCAAATGGATTAAATCATTTTTATTGCAGATAGCGCTTCTGCAATTCCACTGGATTATTTGTTCGCGTTCGTGACACATAAGAGGATTTTAATTGAGTTGAGGAAGCAATCGTTGGGCGACGTTGTTCGGTTACGTTGATGTGAGAGTTAGAAATGGATTTCGTTTCAGTCACAAGTTGCATTACATCAGAGATTGAGAACATTGTTTCATTATTGTTAAGGTTACTGTTTATTAAAGCAACCCCGTTAGAAGGAGCTGGAGCGTCGTAGTCCTTTATCAAATTGATGTGTTCTGTTTTGTTATACCCCAGTCGTTTTAGTTTGGGGGATGTTGGTTTAGCAAATATTAATTTCTTATAAGATCTACTATACGACGGAATCGAGGGAGGGAAGGCGATACATGTGGGACAGGAGAATTAGGAGTATTCTGGATGTTTGAAAACTTAACTATATCAGCAAAAGATTTTGAAACTGGATCATACACTTTATTTGCTTCTGCGTAAGATACACATTTATGAGCCATATACAATTTAATTTTAGTCTGCCGTTCATATTCTGGACACTTTCTGTTTGTAGCAAAGTGTAGACCAGAACATAGACAGCAAGACGCGGCATCATCTTGTATGTTGCATGTGTCCCCAGTATGGCCTTGGCCACACTTGTAACAGCGGGGCCGAGAGTTACAATTAGACTTAGTATGACCAAATCGGCAACAAGAATAGCACTGAATAGTGGGGTATGCGTAAAGTTCCACGGGCAGGGCATTGTAGCTGACAAATACATGTTAAGGTAGGGTTTGACCATCGAAAGTTATTACAATAGTCTATGATGGCTTCCACTCAGGAGGGCTGCTGTTACGTACTTTATAATTTAGTCGTCTAATTTTTATAATTATTCCTACAGGCAGAGAGATGTTGTCTAATATCTCTTCGGGAGACCATTCCGCGGGAACGCCTCGCACCAGGCCCATTCGGGTCACATTAAATGAGGGAATAAAAGCTTTGTTTATTTTATTTATTTAGTTATCAAGCTTACGACATCACACACAGTCCTAAATTTACTAATTATTTTACAAAATCTTACATCTAAAATGTGTGACAATTAATGCAAGCATATGTTTCTCAAAAAAAATCAAATAGAAAAAAAAAATACAACTAAAACACACACGGCAATACAAGCACACATTTAAATAAAATATTTTTTTTAACATAAACATAAAATAAAATTTTTAGCAGCAGAAAAAAAAGAAAAATCATCAGCAAAACAGCGCAATTAGGTTCGAGAAAGACACCCCACAATGCTTTCTCTAAAACCGATCAGCCCACTACCGAATATATTCAGCTCCGGATAACCTGTGTTCAATTTCTTAAAATCGCGAAGAATTCGAACGAGAGGTGCCTGAACTCCTAGGTTGTTTTTGGCAGAAGGAATTTGGAAGATATTGTTGATTTTAAACCTAGGGAATGAGTAAGGGACTTTGTAATTATTTCTTGCCAGGCAGGCTTATTAATAAATTCGTTTGCACATTTGTGGTCTGAGAATGATAGGGAAATTCGGTTTCTGCCTATCCTTTTGATGCTACCATTAATTATGTTTTTAAAAGAATTTTTCTTGAGGAAATACCCAAATTGGACGGGGTGTAGGGAGGAGATGTCCGTATCTGAAGAAACTTTTGCGCATGAACTACGAATGGCCCTATGTCATAGGCCTCATAAAACGTTCGGCCTATAGGATTTTTTATGGACTGAGAAACGTCTGATGGAGGTGATGGGTACTGTTGGGTATTAACAGTTGTAGTATCTACAAGGTCTACTTTGTTTTGAAAACTATCTAGAGCATTAGCGTTCTTAAGCCCAGTATATATTGAGGGAATTTCAATTTCCGGTATTTGGCACGAACAATCAGTGTCCTTTTGTTTGTTCCGACGCGTCGGATCGAATATTTTTTTCCTTTTGTTGCAGTGTTTGTAAATTTTACCTAGTCGCATTCTTTTTCGGTCATTCCGTTGATCCACATCTGTATCTACACTGGACTCGTCCAGTTTAGAAAATCTATAATCTATTATAATATTACAAGCTACCCCGGGGGTCGAGCCCCCGGATATCGGGGGCTCGTCCATTTTTTCGCCTGACTCCAGGCCTTGAGGAAAAAGTATACAAACTTACCAGATACTGTAGAATATATACACAAATGAATAAACAAAACTATTAAATTAAACGACTACATACAAATATGTACAAACTGATCTTTTATACAAGTTAAATTAAATTTATAAATTTCACAAGAAAAAACACTCCCGCCACGACCAACGTTTCCAACTTGCAAACGCATTGCGGAAAAACCGCAATGCGTTTGCAAGTTGAAAGAGCGAGAATTCGTTGCTATAATGGTTTTTATATTATATATTAAAAATGCCGCATCTTATCAGTTTGAGAACAATAACATTCATTTAATTTATAGAAAAAAATAGCTATAATTTGATATATAATTAATAAATGTACATTATGAACGTATAAATGTATCGAGATCATACTTACCTGTTTACACCTGGCTACGAAGAACTGCAGCCAGGTGGGCAACGGCACCCGTGATTTCTTAAAATCCTGATGTAGACGATATTTTATTTAAATAACTAGTGAACGAAATGTTTTCCCAAAAATAAATTCAAAATATTTTCATTAAAAATACTATAGCGGCCAAATTTTGATAGGCACCTTGGTAGATATACATTCTCCTAATTATAAATATACATAAAAATTTGGTTTTTAGCAAATAACCGATGAGCGCACTAATCCTGCAGGCTGCAGCCGGATCTCGTACTTTAGGGCTCAAAGGCGGCTGTATTTTACAAATGCACCAGGACAATAACTAAACGTTGTGTATATTATGTCATCAATAATGTCGCTAGTCTTTCCCTATAGTTTATTGAGGGGATAAGGTGAGCGACCGGTCTGATGATGTCTCAATGCATATATTATGCTAGCGTTTGAAAAAATAAAATAAAAACTTCTACATACTTATGTATGATCGAGCTCTTGTCCAAGTCAAATTACGACACTTGGTGCTTACAAGGTCTAGCAACCCTTATAAAGGCGGACTTATGAAATTATATGCGGATAATTAAAATACTATTAAAAGATTGCGATACGTCTACCAAGTTGGAATTTAATAGAGAAGGTGTGAAGATTAAAGCCGAGTTATTCCTATTAATATCCCCATCGGAGATAAGCAGATTAAAAATTGTCCAACTTCATAAGAAATTTGGGATAACTTGAAACAAAGGACCAGCAAGACCTTTAACCCTTTTAAACCAGTTAGTGCTCAAGCGAAAGATTGAAAATGAAAAGAAGTGTAACAGAAGTAGAGTATTAAAATCATTTAATATATATTTCTTTTTTGACTTTAGTGTACATTATGTTACCTATATGAATAAATGATTTTTGACTTTTGAGAGTATCTAAGTACCTATTGTCAAATTCGAAATAGACTTAATCAATTAATTCTAACACTTAACAGTATATTATATATTAATGAGATTGTCGGTAGTAATTTTAACTAAACTTTAATAATACTTAAGGATATTCGCTATTTAAATGATCAACTCCGTTTGGTGACATCGCTAGGACAATACTCGCCATTTAATGACAACTGAAAATTTAAAGATTTTTTATGCATATTGAATGAACGTTATGTTATTGTCTATTATTGACGTAAACTTTGAATTCGTTAAAAATATTTTGCTAGTGTTTCATAAATGTCAGTTTTAAATAATCTGTGGCTTTGCCTAGTTCATGGTGGTTGGTAATAACATGTCAAATTGATAATTATTCATGTCAATTGCAATTCCTATTTTCAACCTTGATAGATAGACGTGTGCTTTTAAACTACAATTTATAAAGTCTGAATGTTACTGAAAAATGGCAGATTCCGAGGTATTCACAACAACCTAAAACATTTAATTCGTAAATTATTTATAAACCGGCTTCTAATGACATAGTTTTTCTCAGGTATTAAAGAAATTGAAGGATGTACCATTTAGAATCCAAACCGCAAGTCTTAAACAGCGCCGGGAAATTATTGAAGAGATACAGGATGTTCTGTCTACACCTGGTAGTGAATACATTATACTTT